GTCCAGCATCGGAGATATCAGCTGCGATCTTGGGAGCTCCAGATCGCACACCGTACCGCCGCGACGCCAGCTCCGCCTCCCCAAGTTATTGGGAATTATTGTGTTAAGTGCATAGCATTTGCAACTGCAACTCTATCTGGTTGGAGTTTCTGACTTTTCTGGGTGGTTATTAATTCTGCTTCCACTCAACTTGATTTCACCCCATTTTGACCACGGGACTTGCCATATTCTCTGCCCTTCCAGGTGAAGTGGTGTTTTCTGTGCCAGAGATCGTTGCTATAGCCTGCAAATGCTTGCTTTATTTTATTACAACCAAATGGTTTTAAGATAGCATCAGTGCAAGGGTCACCTCTAATATGTCTCCTCTTTGAGACTTGGCATTTAAAATTAATAAAACTTTCAAATAAATGAATGCAGAGCTCTTTCATTCATGAAAATGATAATATAGTTATACGGCACTGAGAGAGAGGTGCCACAGTGGCACCTGTGTGGATGGGTTCAGCTGACAGAGGAGTATCAGTTTGGATGAGAGGAGGAAGTGGAGGAGACAACTGATATGTAGGGTGCCCGAATCTATTGTAAGCAGAGGCAAGAAGGTCTCCCACAGGAAAAGGACTCTGCCATCCTAGACTGTCTGCTGGCATATAGTATGGTGGTGCTTTTGTGCTGCTGACTCTTCTGGTCCCCTTTTTCAGGGTGGAGGTGCAAGAGGAAATCTACAAAAAAGGACAGTCTAAGCGGATTTGGGGAGAACTTTACAAGGTATATGAATATGGCTGTGTAATTGTGTTCTTACAAATGTTTCTGGAAAGCTGTCCCTGCCATGGTGTCCTGGGCTGGCTTGCTTGCCTTTTTCTCTGAATTCTGAACCTGGTTTTGTAGCAGTATTGAGTTTCTTCCGAGTTAAAGTGAAAGCTGGCCTGGGGTTTGCTGTTCTATTCAGTTCTCGATTTCTCACCTCAGTTTGGACAGGACTGCTTATCTGTGTAGTTTGAAATGCTTGAACTTGATTGCTGTGAAGAGTTAAGTCATGGAAATCCTCCAGGTTGCTTCCCTAGTCCAATATGTCTCTCGCCCTCTCTCTGAACTGCCAGGTGATTGATTCATCAGATGTCATTGTGCAAGTGTTGGATGCTAGAAATCCCATGGGGACCCGCTCCCCTCATGTAGAGGCCTACCTAAAGAAGGAGAAGCCTTGGAAGCATCTCATTTTCGTCTTGAACAAATGTGATCTTGTGCCCACATGGGTCACGGTAGGTCCCTTGGAAGAAGATGTAGGCTACAAAAAAAAGGTGCTTGTTTGGGGCTTGTCTCCATTGCAGAGAAGCTATTTTGCATGTGAGCTTGGAAAATGTCAGGGACCTATCAGTGTCTTTGAAACCTTTGGAGAGTTTAAGTCAGAAATTGTTTTTTGCACTTGCTTGAATGTGTGCTTTGATCTGCCACACCTTGAAATAGTATTGGGGGTAGGGGGAGGTCCAAAACACTGGATCAAGCATCTTGGGCCTGAGCAACTTCATCCTTAAGCTGCTAGGCTTTAATGGGATGGAATGGTGGCTGAACACGGACACTTTGTTTCTTCTAGAGACGCTGGGTCGCACTTCTGTCTCAGGATTACCCAACCTTGGCTTTTCATGCCAGCCTCACAAATCCTTTTGGAAAAGGGGCCTTCATTCAGCTCTTGAGGCAGTTTGGAAAGGTACAGTAAATCTTAGTGTTTGTGTTGAGTGTTGCTGAGGAATCCTGTGTTTTGTGGATTCCTGTGGTGCAGCGAGTAGTTTGGAAAGTCTGGGGGTGGGGGGGGGGAAGATGGGATTTACAAAGTTCCAAGAGAACTAATTAGTCCAGAGGTGCCTTGAATCTTACACAAAGAGGAAGCAGGGATTCTCGTAGATTCTGTTGCTTGGTTGTAATGCTGGTTGCTGGCATCACAAATAGGAGTGGTGATTTATCATATTTAGCAAGATGGATTCCTGAGGCCAACTCAGCTGCTGAACGTTAGGGATGCACTAGATTCTGGAAGATCTGTTCCCCCATGGATCATGCTATTCTGGGGACAGTTTAACAGTTACTTGAAGAATTCAAAATGTCCCAATGATATTATCAGGTCACCTTGAATCGCTTCTGCTTTAAAAGATTTGTCTTTCAGAACTGCTGAGTTGCCAGGCAGTGGCATAGTCTGGAGGAGGGTCAGCATGGCCCAGAGGGGGGAAAGAAAAAGCAAACTCTAGAATGTTTGCTTCCTGATGAGTTTTGCACATTCTTCTTGGGACTGCGCCCCATTGGCATGGGCTTGTGGAGGAAAGCACTTGAATAACTGGGGATTGCAGACGTGTATATTTTGAAGACTCCATTGCAGTCCCTAGTGCTTTTCAGAGAAAGGCAGAAAATGTTAACCCTTCACTTACCTAACAATAAGAAGTAAGTTTCCTGGCTGACTCACTTCCCCATCAGCTGAAGTGTTTGCATCCATACATAGTATGTAGTTGCTTAAAGTGTCCAGCAGATGATGTCCATTTTATGAGCTATGTTTAAAAAGCTTAAACCAACTAGCAGTAGATGGAAAAGGAACGGTCAGTTTTGGTGACGTTTTTAGGTCTATCAACTATCCTGCACTTGGCTCTCCAAAAAGCCAACTGCTTGTCCAAAATTACTTTCTCTAATTCTTAGGGTGTTCATATTCAGCCTGCCTTATTCTGCATATGTTGTCCCCAACAGCTGCATGTAGATAAGAAGCAGATCAGTGTGGGCTTCATTGGATACCCTAATGTGGGAAAGAGCTCTGTGATCAACACACTTCGCTCCAAGAAGGTCTGCAGTGTGGCTCCCATTGCTGGTGAAACCAAGGTAAGCTTCCTCACAGATTTAAGATTAAAACAAAGCCATAATGGGTGGGAGGACTTCTTGTGCCTGAAGGCAAGGACTTCTGCACCAATACTAAGCATGTTCTTGTTTCTAGGATTGCGGTGCTGGAGTGAAAGTGCCTGATGTGTAGTTCTGTGTCTTGAGCATTCTCTGTACTTAAGGTCTTTATTTCTGCAGATATGACAAGTACATGATAACTTGTCAGCATCCCTTGAAGGAGGGATGCTGAACAAAACATTAAAATGGACGTGTTGGAACAAACATGTAGAGTGAGAATCTTTGTGTCCTTTAAAGTATTTTTCTCTAAAAGTAGAAAGTATGTTCAGCTGATTAGACAGCTGCAGAAATTTACTTAAATGTCATTACCAAAAAAACCTCCTTGCCATTTAAATGTGGTTTTGAACTTTGCTGATGTGATAACACTAAAAAAGCTGTCTTTAGGGACAACAAGAAAAACAAACAGGCTTGGATTTATTGTTTGCCCTGCACTCCAGCAGGTAACACTTTCATGCTTGCTAAATAGCCTTTCCAAAGAAATAGCAGGTGAGGTGACGATATCAAAGGGCCACCCAGGTGGTTCCTGGCCATGATGTTCATAGGCTGACATTTACAGTGGGGCAAAAAAGTATTTAGTCAGCCACCAATTGTGCAAGTTCTCCCACTTAAAAAGAT